CTACTGGTGCTGCTTGGACTGCTACTATGGCTGCTGTCCGGAGTATGTTCTACCTCCCAGTTTGTGATGGGTCTGCACCTAAATTTATGAATTCCCTCAGCAGGCTGCCAGCCTCCAACACCACTGTCCAAGCTGCCCATGCACGGCTACCCCATACATTTCAACATAACCTTCCTCACAGGTTTTACAACAGCGGGAGAATCAGTGTCACTTTTATTTCATCACTTGTGTCAAAGCCCTTCTTGGGAACCTCTGGTGGGAAAGCAGGTTTTGGGGGCAGAGCAGGAAGCACCTGCGATGACGGTTATAGCTCTGTGCTCTGTAATAAAACCTGGATGTCGGACTCAGACCTTCAGCTGGGGAGGCCCAAAGACTGACCTGCCAAGCCCACTGCACATGGGCACTGGGCACTTTTATAGAACAAGCATCTGACCCACTCTGACTCCGAAGGCTACCTTCTTTATCCTGGGTACAAAACCTCAGTAAGTATGACAGCAGGCGGTCAGTGGCAGCAAATGCCTTGAACTTCCCAAATATGCCAACGTTTCCAGTTTTGGAGAAACTTCTAACATTCTTTCCAACTTTCAATGTTTATCAATAACGTGGCAATGAACATCTTTCTATATAAATTTTTTTGAATCCTTTAAAGAATTTTAAGTGCAACTGCCTGTTATGGTTCACTCTTCACCTAGGCTCTGATTTGCAAACCACTTTGTTTTCCCTTGAGTCCAATTTTAAGGTCGGAAAAAAAAAAAAGCTTAATATTTTGGATAATGGGACAGAAATGCTCAGGAAGCTTACCTGTTCTCAATTTAAATCAAGAAAGGTATTTCTGCACCTCATATAGAAGGCTTCTAAGATCTGTCTACTCCCAAACGATAGTTGGCCTCCTGGCTTTGGGAGGAAGTAATACGCTCCCGAATTACATTAATAGTATAAAAAAGTTCTTTTTTATTTTGGGGGGAAATAACACTGTGAAAAAAATATGTGAGGCTTTGATAAAGAGCCCTACTAAACTCCAGGCAACAAATAAGCCAGGAACTTGACTTTTGCAAGTTCCCAGCCAGTTAAACATCTGGCCTTCTTGGCAAAGTTGCCGCCTGGGCTGAACAAGCTGTGGAAGGGCACTCCTTCTCTGTCTGCAGGGTGGGGACGTTTACAGTGGGTTCTCCATCTCTCCTCTCTTCTCTGATCTATTCAACAGAGACATAAAGTTTGCAGGATACCCTAAAAGGCACAGCTTTGAGTCTGAATTTTGATGTTTGCCCTGACTCTTCTAGTCTATTGGTTAGTGGTTTCTGGGGAGACTTCCAGCCTGAAGCCTCAGCAAAGGCCCACTGCTGGACTGGCATGGCTGCCGCCGCTGCTGCTCTCACTGCCCCCAGCCCTGGCCCAGGGGGTGGAGAACACTGTGCTCCCAGAAGGTCAGCACGGCGGGACGCGGAGCCGGCCCTCAGAGATGCTCATCTGCTGCCCGGATTTAGCTGCTCTGGGAGAGTGGCGGGCTCTGACTAATGGCTGACTGAGCCGACAGCAGCGTGAACTCTGCGCCCTCCGAGAAGAGCGAGCTGATGGAACGCAGTGATAATTCCTAGCAGGCAAGGTGGTCTAGACGGCAATGACCACACACTTAGTGCTCACTCTGAGTCAGTGCTCTTCTAAGCACTTCCGTGTGCTAATTCATTCAACCCTCCCAGCAACCTGATGACCTAGGTATTAAAATGATCGTCTCTTTACATTCAAGGAAACTAAGGCCCAAAGAGGTTGTATAACTTCCCCAAGGTCACAGAGCTAGTCAATGATGGAGCCAGGTTTCAAATACAGGCAGTACGATTAGAGCACCTGGGCTGTTAGCCACGCCACTCCCTCGCCTAGATGTGATGGTGCCCCTATCAAAGGCATGAATAACAGCGCTCTGTCCGCTAAGGAGAGGATCTCAGTAGCCTGAAAAATAAACCACAAACGTGTTCAAGATCCTTGGGCCCAGATAAGACACGAAGAGAAAAATGACACCAGCCCTGGAAATGTTTTGACTCTTGGATATCAGAACAGTATCACGCTCTCCCGGGCTCACAGAGCCCAAGGAGCCTTGATATTCTGGCAGCGGATGTGTGGCACAGGAGGTGGCACTTCGCCTTTCTCTTCAGAATTAAGAGTTAAAAATTGTTACGGAAGTTAAGCATGAAGTAGCATCAGGTCCAGAGACCTTTCAGGTGCATGTTGCAAATTACAGACTGTAAACGTGCTCTTCCCGGAACATAGGGACAGCCTGTGTTTATATACACTATTGATACTATGTGTGGAATGGATAACTAATGAGGACCTACTGTGTAGCGCAGGGAACTCTACTGGGTGCTCTGCAGTGACCTAAATAGGAAGAAAATCCAAAAAGGAGGGGATATATGTATACGTATGGCTGATTCACTTTGCGTACAGTAGAAACTAATACAATATTGTAAAGCAACTACACTTCAATAAAATTTTTTTAAAGTTTCTTAAATTAAAGAGAAATAAATACGTGAAAAAAGAAGCTAGGAAGCATCATGAACTCTAGAATAGATTTCCACTCTCCAGGGTGATGTAAAATAATACCATTTCAAAATGGTTAGAATTACTTTTTTGAGGTCAGTCTAATGTCACTTGGTAGGAAGAAAAATCCACATTTAATTGTAAGCATTTGCACCTGGCGTTTGCCAACCCTGTCCACGCATGGATCTTATTTGCAACAGACAAATCCTCTGTGGCTTCCTCATGTAATAAATGTACGCATGCACACATGCACGCACGCACACACACACATCCTGCTATACGTTTAGCAATAATGCTGTCACACTTCAGATAAAGCTGAGACCTTAAAGACATGCTTAGCACTTTCACTGTGGCAGTACACTTAAGTTTATTCCAGTCCTTTAGGTATCCGCCCCAATAAACAATTTGAATGCTGGAATAGCTACAAAAGCTCTCTGTGAACATTTTCCCCAAGTGTAAATTATTGGAAGACTGTTTATATAATTCAAGAAAACCTTGTGTCCTTTTAATCTTGCTGAATCCACCACTCTGACAGAATCCTGCTTTTACTCTATGCTTAAGGACTGGATTTATTTCTTTACCTCATCATGAAGAAAAAGATAAATGAAATCACACTTTCAGATGTACGTAATTTAGCTTCTGCACATTTTCACCTTTCACAAAGTTTCATGCTTCTATAGTTTCCACTCTTGAATTGGTCAAAGCTAAAGCTAAACAGGGCAATTCTCTCCGTTCAGTCCTGGTAGTATTTTGCTAACATTATCATAAAACGTTCTTATTCATTCTCAACAATTTGATTTCTTGAGCATTGTTCGATACCCGCACCCCTTGCCATGTGCTGGGGACAACCACAATTCATAAGAATTTCAGGACCACAGCATGACTCAATTGTCATTTCTCCTAATGCTCTCTGTTACGGTGTTTCTATCCACAACATTTCAGACCAAATCACTTGTTCATGAAAAATGAACAAGTTTTCCTATCACTTCTGCCCTACTGCTTCCTGGCTGATCAGTGACTTCCGGAATAGTGCTGCTGAAAGGAAAACCACTGAGGAAGCTGAGAATCTGCAAAGATGATTGATTGGAAGAGAGATACGACCTCTGACTGTCACCTGTTGTACAGACTCTTGGAACCTTAGATTTGGAGGAATCTCAGAAGGTGAAATCATCTACTTCTCCCCCATCCATGACTTCTACCAAGGCACTGGGATCTCTGGACCCACAGGGCTGTCTTAGTAAGTTATTTACTTACTTACTTAAAAATTTATTTATTTAGTTATTTTTTACTGAAGTATAGTTGACCTACAACACTATGTTAGCTCCAGGTACACAACATGGTGATTTGATATTTTTATACATTACAGAATGGTCGGCGCAAATCCACAGGACAGTGTTAAAGGTCTCCTAACTGTGTCTCATGCTTCCACTCTGGCTCTCTTCCTGCTTCCATTTTTCATGAGCATCTGGATTCATCTTTTAAAAATATATGTCAGGTATCTGTCTAAAGCTTAAAACCTTCCAATGGTTCCCATGGATTTAGATTATAATCCACGCTTCTTTCCAAGGGTGTGTGAAGCCCTGCACAGCCTGGCTCCTGCCTAGCTCTATGTCCTGGTCTCACGCTGCTCGTGTTCACTAGACCACAGATGTACTGGGCTTCTGTATGTGTATCTATATACACATAATCTGTATGTAAACATATACATGTATATCTAACTGAAGTATAGTTGCCTTACAAGTTTATATTAGTTTTTCAGGTATACAACATAGTGATTTGATATTTTTATAGAGTATGCACCATACAAAGTGATAGTTTTATTGACTATATTCCGTGCACTGTACAATACATCCCTGTGACTTATTTATTTTATAACTGGAAGTTTGAACCACTTGATTCCTCTCACCTATCTCACCCATCCCCCTCCCGCCTCCCCTCTGGCCACCACTAGTTTGTTCTCTGTATCTAGGAGTCTGTTTCTGTTTTGTCCGTTAGTGTATTTATTTGCCTTGTTTTTCAGATTCCAGGTATACGTGAAACCATACATTTTCTGTATGTTTCCTGAATGCTGAGCACCTTCCCACGTCAAGGCTTCTGCCTGGGCTGCTTTTCCCTCAGACACTTTGTGCAGCTGGTTTCATTCTATGGAACAGAAGCACCTCTCCCCTCACGTCAAAATTCCCACATCACACTGCATTGTTTTCTTCCCAGTTTAAAATGAATGAAGAGCTTTTATGGGGGCTGTGGGTTTGGGAGGACATTAGCTGTGGTCTTGCATTCTTTCTGAGCCGAAGTCGGCAACATTTGGCTAGGCAAGTGCTAAGGATGCCTTATTTGTGCCCGGAGGCTGCGACTTTCGGGCTCCAAATTTATGAATACAACAGTCCTCTGATCTACTTGTCCAGGATCCCCATCACCAGAACAATAAAAACAATAGCTCTTATTCAAAAGCAGGCAAAGCAGACACTTACTTATGGTGGATCCGGACTCTGGCCTGTTCAGGGAGCTGATGATGACAAAGCCGAAACCCTCGTTCTCTTTGCGGTGAATGACCACGTCGCTGGTCTGCAGGCTGTGGGAGGCGAAGCCTTCGGGGGGAGAGGCGCTGCTGTTGGTGTGAGTGTTGGTGTAGGTTGCGTAGTCGCTGCGAGGAGAGCTGTGGTGGGTCGACACGGAGCCTGGACTCCTCCCGTTCTCTGGGCAGGGCTCCCCTGGAACACACATCGTACACAGGCACCTGGTTATTTAGCAAGGGTCTTGATGAAGGAGTGCCTCCTGGGTACTGGGCACTATTCTAGACACTGGCATTGTCACCAGGCTGGTTGACTGGCCTCCATTCCTCCCCCCAACCCCCACCCCCCGGACGTGAAGAGTATTTGAAAAGCTCCAAACCTGGCTATGGAGCCCCCTAGGTCTTGCCCCTTTCCACCCTTCACAGTAAACACAGGTAAAACCCCTCCTCAGCTGCCCCTGTGCCGCTACTTGTTTATAACTTCTTTTCGGTGAGACGGCAACCCGCCAAGACAATGCCTAGTTTTAAATACCAGGCTTCTCAGTTTCACAACAATAATTGATCTAAGAAGATCATAAAACAGACAGACTCTTCAACTGTGCTATGCATAAAACCCACTTAAAGAACTCGTAAGAAATATGCATCATCAGAGTTCACTCAAGGAGTTTTTTCAGTAGATCTGGGATCAACTGGGCAAAGGAATCTGGATGAGGTTTCAAGGCCACACTTTGAGAAGTGCTGATTGTAGTTGGGGTTAACAGCCCAGAGGATGTCCACGTAAAGTGACCTACCATAATTTTACTAAAAAGCCATGGGTTTATTTAATTCTGTGATACTCTGTTAGCTTAGAAGTGTTCATTCACTTTGTGTAGCTGGGAAACATACTTCTTAGTTTGCTCACTCTAGGATCAAATCTAACAATGATATCAGGCTGCGGAATGATGAATTTTGAATCTCTAAGGGAGGTGTTGGAGGCCTTGCTCATTGACATTCTATATTATTGTAAAATATACTTTACTGTCAACCAGATAAAGCAAGCCAGTAGTTCCATGAGAAAGCAAGTATATTTATAGGGAGAAATGATAGAAAGTTGGCAGCCAAGAGAACCTAGTTTTTAAACTGAAAGTTGACCCATCATTCAAGAAAGAATTCTGTCATTTTACTATAATACCTAGGTTCTGGTATTTGGATGAAAAAAAAAAAAAAAACTTAAGCAGGCACGTAGAATACTGTAATTAGAAACAGGACCGTTTCATGTCCATCTTACAACTTGATTAGTGTACTCAAAAGATGTTTATGGAACAGAGGAACAGTAAGATAGAAAATAATGATAATCAGTGATTCCTTTATGGGTTTTTAGATATGGTCTCCTATTTGCAATACTGGCAGTTGTCTCATATGGCAAGTTAAAAATAATTAGCCGAAGTTCCAATGAAGGCTTTTAATGTAAGATGCAATTCCATTCTGAAATGAAAAATCATTTCGTTTAAAAAATCAGTCAGTTCAAAAATCAGGGAACGAGAACACTGACTATAAGAGATGTTTTGTTACACTGATACCTTAAGAAAATGGAGCTGCATTTAATCAGATACTCAGATTTAAAAATGGTCTTTACAAAAATGTATTCATTTCTTGTCTGTGATTACAGAATGAGTAAGACCCAGGCTACTGCTTATTACTGTTTGATATATTTGAATGTTTCTGTAATATTTAATCAATCAGGTTTTAATAAAAGAAAACAAATGGGTGTTTTCATATGTAAGAAATGTACTGAGGTGATAAAAGAGCAAAATGTCAATGTCAAAGCTTTTCCCTCTTTTCCACCAGAATTTCAAACTACCTGTAAAATGAACCCTCTCCACTAGAAAACATCATCCAAAGACAAGCTGTTATTGTCTTGGTGAAGCACATATCCTTTATCAGTCCTTGTATAAGTTGGAAATAAAGTGATTGGAGATAGTCAGGAAGAAGAAAAAGAAACAATTATTATGCTGCAACATTAAACTGAAAATCTCCCTGAGTTATTGGACCAAATCAGTAACTAAATGTTATAGGCAGTGGCAAGAGAGATCTCATTTTCTGGCTGTCATATTTTAGGGGGTTGAGAGCTGCGGTTGTCAGTAAAGCAGCAACAAAGAAAAATCATCTGTCTTTGCAGAAAGTGGCTCGGAGTGGCTCTGCCGCAGGTTCCAAAGGGAGAAAGAAAGAAAGTCATTGCCTAAGTCAATGTGAGTGTCCCTGGGTGAGTGCAGGAGTCAAATACATTAACAGAATACTTTTCTATTGCTTCCGCATGTCTCTTTCAGCCTCTAGAACAAAGTTCTTTATCTTTAACACCATGAGCACATTTAAAACCAGGGAGTTAAGAAGACTTCCAATGATTGACTTCGAGGGATATAACTGATTCCACCTCATTTTTCTACTTGGCTGGCTCTAGACCCAAATGAGGCTGTCTTCTCTCCAACACCACTTCCTGGTATAGGGGATGAAAAATGTTGTTTTAGAATAATATAGTAAAATGTCAGGAAGTGACTAAATACCACGTGCAATTTTTTTTCTTCTTCTTCTTTTTTTTTTTTAAACACACTAACTCCCAGCATCCCTGACTCATCCTCTGGCTCACATGCAAACGGGTGTACAGAATTCAGTCACTTAATATCTATTCAAGTCCAATAATTAACTTTTAGGTTTTAGCTTCTGTTTTGTCCTCACCAGTCATGCTGGAAATCATCACTGTGCTGACTGGGAGAGGGTCTCCATTTGGGAAGGCAGGAGTCATTGATAATGTCCTCCAGGTGAGATGGTTTTGACTAGAACAGTCAACTGCTGGCCAGGAGCTGCTCCTGGTCTGCAGACCCATTTATTATTCCTGCCCAATGCCGGTCTAGACTTTGTTTAATAACTGTTAAAATTAACTGCCAATGTTTTTAAATAGGGTGATTTTACAGAAAGCTGGATTTCTAGTTTCTCTTGAAATATTTGGTAATAATCAACTAGAGTTGGGCAATTCCTGCTCCCTTGACTGTACACAATGTGCAAGTCTCAGCTACTCCCCAGCGTCTCTTGCAAATTCCTGATGTACTCATTTACCCGTGGAGTGAAGAGCACACAGGGCCAAAGGGCTTGTTCGGCTGGAGCCCTTGTTTCCCTTCAAGATCACAGACTGGGTACCAGGGCTCTATGTAACCAAACAGACCTTGCCTGCTTCCAGGTTGTGCCTGGGCCTCTCTTCACAGGACTGTCCCCTGGAAGGACGTGCAAATCTTGTCTTGAAGCACGGCTGAGGCACCGGGGTATGTGTGTGGTAGATCTTGGACACGTGCACTGGAGTGTCCACGGGCACAGTGCACCCCTGTGGTGCCTGGCAGGCGGGGGTCCTGCCCATGTTAGGGGCTGGCCTTCCTGAAGGCATGTGAGTTTCTGCACTCCTGCCTTATGCTCATCAAGGCAGACACATTATTTAAATGGGTGACATGCTCATAGACAAAGAGTAAGGGATTGTATTTAGAATTGACAGAAAGTATAGTAACCAGGAGCAGGCAATTCACTAGCATCCTGAACGCTGGCTAAACTTTTCACCCAGCTGCCAAGAAAACCTTCCCTTTCTCAGTATCAGGCCAAGAATCAGACTTTGCCTTAGGTGTTAGGAAAAAAAGATGCTGATAGCTTTAAGATGGACTCTAACGTGTTTTGATTAAGTCGTAAAACTTTCCTTCACATCAATTCTAGATTTACACTTTCGGGAATTCCTCAGAGACACTCTTCTCTCAGACGAATCGTATGTATTCAAAATAATGTGTCACTACGTTGAAAGTCTCAAAGTTGAATTATTAAACATGTAAATATTTACACTTTCAGTGTAACAATTAAAGCCACTTTGAATAACTAAATATCGGAGCTGGTAGCACGGATAAGGCACCTCTCCAAACTAGTTTAAGGTGCACGATCTGTGCTACGATTATCTGGTAAACAAAATTGGATACGTTACTGGCTGTTTTCATCCTTTATCCTTTACGTTTTCATCCACCGTTTCTCACTTTTGAGGACCTAGTTCGCTGTTGCCTAATTGAAAATTCTGCCTTTCTATCTTTAGCGCGTACACTTTTTTTGGTATGTTAACATTTGGAGCAGGTTTTTATTTTCATTTTTGCCCAGTGTAACTAACCAGTCTGTATCTCTCATAATCAATGCTGTTTTTTCTTCTTCTTCTCTTCAGCATCAACTAGGAAACCAGTGCCCAGTGTCTTCTGAGGTGAGGCAGGACATCTGTACGAGCGGAGGCAAGCACAAGGCTGCCCACCTCTTTTTCCATTATATTACTCCTTTGTGCAAGAAAGTGGTGACACTGCCTGTCTCCTCGTTCATCTTCTGTCTCTTCACAGTCTGATTATTCATTTCCCCTCAGCTTTGAACCGTCTCATCATAAGCCAGGCTTGGACCTCCCACCGCATTTGCTTCAGAAACCATAATAACGATGATAACAAGAACCCTGAAAATGGCATATCCACTGTCATATCCATTTGTAGCTATCTCTTCTCACTGTTGGAGAAATGGCAGCTATGAAGAAAGGCTGTCTTCCTAGGCCCGTTTAAAAAATCTGCTCCATCCTATTTCTAGGCATTGACTTTACTATCAAAGTATCCTTTGCTGAACTTAATCGTTTTCAATACTCATGAAGCTTTCAAGGAAGAGTGGGCTGAACTAACTTGGAAACTCTCCTGGTGTGAATGAGCAGTCTGCGGCAGAACATTTTCAAAAACTAAATGCACTTGGAAGCCTCAGTGAGTAAAGTTGGTAAGAACGGCAGCAAAGAGCATCTTCACAGAAGTTACATGATCCACAAATGGCAAGAATACGTTTTTGAGGCATTTGGCCTACACTCCACTAGCCTGGGTTGATCAGAACAGAATTTAATTTACGACCATCAGCTGGTGGCAAGCGGAGCGTGAAATCATGTTGGTGCATTAGTTTTTGCACTTTGCAGTGTATTTCCTTGTAAATCAGTATTTTTAAACTTATCTTTGGGTTACAGAACAAATACCACAGCAAACTTTTTATTAAAAATCACTTTGGAGCGTGAGAGACAGTTAAATGTTAACTGAGCAAACACTGTCTTCCTCGGGGCATCTCGCCCAAGGTTAAGGCATAATTCAAGGTGTTTTACTTCACTGGGTCAAGTGGTCCATGAATTCCTGAAGACAATGGCACCTCTTAGTAAAACCTCCATCATACAAGATCGATAGCAGGTCTCTACAGGCGAGGGCTCGTAATTCTTCTGACTTACCCTTAAGTGATATCTCCTGCTCAAAATCTAGTTTCTACAAGACTTGACTAGAAAAGGATTTTTAGTTCGACTAATAAACCTCATCCTCTCGAGTGATTCACAGCTGTGATTAGCTGGTGGCCCTTTGTTTAAAAATTCAAATGTGTTACGACACTAGCACATATGGAAGACGCCTTATGTTAGGGAGTGACATTTGCTAAAGGTTGGTCTAATGTCTTTGAATCCACTGGACAGGGGGTTGGTGGCAGAGTAAAGAAAGAAGCACTGGCTGGGGAGATGGGTCTCTGCAGGATCACTGACTCACTGCAGACCACCAGGACATCTACTGAACCTCTGGGCCTCAGTCTGTCATCTGTAACACAAGGGAGTTCACGTTGCTCTTCCTAAGGTCCCTCCTAATTCTAGTATTGATCACTGTGTATGAGGAGCAGTCCAGGGCTGAGTAGAGAGGCCAGCAGGCCACCGGGGCAGGTGACGACGGAACATCTTTGGCACTGTCGCTCCTGTAATTCACAGGGCAAAGAAAGCACAGGCGGTTTGGGACAATATTCCCAATATTACTGAGTGCTCAGAGGATAAAAAACAGTATAATGCTTGTAATGGACATATGCCTTATAAACAGAAATCTTTTTTGGGGGGGTTGAGAGATGGTAAAGAGAGCTAAATTGAATCATATGACTAAGAGGGCTGACTTTTAAAAGTATTTCTCTGGTGGATTCTTTTATGAAGCTGTAAAGGTTGTAAAGGGAATAATTACTTCTAATTTCTCTGTTTCATAACTTTGGAGTTATATGAATTGTGCTTTCTCAGAGTGACATATAGCTGTATTTTTCTAAATCAGAGTAATCATTTCATTGTTACCATTTATCAGGCTCTATAAAGGAAGTTAATTTTCCATCCTAGTTGCCTTTTTATGGTATCAAAATGCTGTGTTTCTTGGCTTGTAAACACAATGAGGGACATTTTCAAAAGCTATATTTTTCACTATTATAATGTTCTTCTTATACCTAGCATCTACCAAAAAGCAAAGAGCATGCATATCTTAAATTAGCCTCAGGCTTTGCTAGAAATTTTTAATGACTCCATGGAAAATGTCAGCCTCAAAGACGGCTTAGAAATGTACTAGCGGGGTGAAAATCTGCACTTTCAACATCATAGTTACATCTGGCATAGCGAGGTTGGTCTTTTCCCTCATATAATATAGAAACTGATTTAAAATGTTGTCTCCAGTGTCCTGACCCTTACTCACAAAAGCATCTCACCACCTAACCCCCAACTCTTGCTGCTGGTTCGAGTTACATACCTCCACATAGCACCTTTCTTCTCACAGTGAGGTTGACCTGCCCGTTCCGGGCTGCATGGTGCATAAGGTCGATGACATAGCGGTGGGTCTTGCCAGCCACTGGAATCCCATCCACATAGACGAGCTCATCTCCCGGGTGTAGGCGGCCGTCTCTGTCGGCTGATCCCATGGCAATGACAGCTCCAATCAAAATCTAGACAAGCAGTGAGAAGAAAAGGATGTTTATGTTTCAAACCTCCTTCCTTCCTTCCTTTCTTCCATCTATCTACTTACCTACCAAGCAACTCAGTAGAAGATTTTATTCCCTGTTCACACCCTCTGCCCCAAATCTGAACATGTACTTGAAAAATGAAAACTGAGAGGCTGAAAGGATGCCCTCCTAACTCTTCCAGGTTGCTAACTCTTCTCAGAGAAATAAATGTTTTGGACTTGCTCCTGATGGCCATGAAGTCTGGGGGACACTTGCTAACTGGTTCATAAGCTATCACCCTTAAACCCAAATAACCTGATGTCACTGGCCACCGTACATGGGCTCTGAATTGCAACAAACTGGGGATGGAATCCTAGCTCCACTTCTTTATTTGTGTGCCGTGGGCAAGGCTTTTCAATCTCCGCAAGCCTCGGTTTCTTCACCTGCAAAAATGGGGAAATAAAATAATAGGACCTACTTCATGGAGTTGTTGGGAGAAGCGAAAGAAATAGGGCATGGGAAGCATTTAACTTTGCTCAGGGCACGTAGTGAGTGCTTGAAAAATGTCAGGGGAAACTACCTGCTGTATATTATTAAATTCAGATGAAGGTTCAAAGTGTTTTTTATCTTTTAATTTTTGCTTTGCTTTCAAAAGCTGGAGTTAAGGATAAAACAAAACAAAGCAGAACCCATGGCTGGCCTTCCCTGGACAGTTGACCTACTTTAAGAACAGTCAAATCTCCTTCAGATGTTTGCTCCATTTCTTTGAATACTTTCTTAGAGCACTTCCTCTGCACAAAGGATGTCCCCAGTTCTGCCTGTCCCCTGCAATGCTTCTGCTGTTTAGGCGGCCACCATACCAGGAAATTTGGAGGTACACATCTGGGAAATGTGCATATTGTTATAAATCTCTGAACCAGGGACTGTGACACAAGGCATAACGATGTAAGGTTTCCTACTTCCCATTAGAAACACTCAAATTAGTGTCCATTAGCAAGGCTTTTTTTCTTTCTCAGAGGAAAGGCAACAGCACTCAATATTTTAGTTTTGCTATTTAATCTACAATTTTTCCAACTCATGGACAACAGAGTTCAAAAGGATAGTTTTTCTTTTGCCAAGTGGCTTAGCCTCACAGCATCTAAAGGCAGTGGTTACCATTAGTCTGATAATATTACAGAGGCTATATTCTAGGTTGTATTTTAAGTCTATAAAATGATCCCTTGCTCACGGATTGATTTCTTTCAGGCACTAATTTCTTTCAAATCTCAGATCTGTGGATTCCAGTTAATTTGCAGAGCTGCTCCATCACGACCTGCAGCCTTGTGTGTCAGCAGACGATTCCTTCTTGCTTGGTCACACTGCTCAGTGTGGCCTGTCAACACAGATCTGGACGCCCAGACCTCCTCAGGTATATGCAGAATTATGGTCTGGAGGGTTTTCTCTTTTTTCCTGAGGACTTCATAGCCTTGGTCCACTGAATAGCTCTCTTTATCCAGAGGAATGAAAATTCCCTACCACACGGCAGTTTTTTCCCTATTCTTGGGGGAGGGTGGGGAGTGGAGAGTAGAGAATAGATTTGCTTCCTTGTTGAATATTGGTGCTCTGATGACGGATTCATTATTGCTCTCACAGGAAACACATTGCCAGCCTTGGACTGCTGGGCCACAGCAAATGGCTGTGCCCGTATGCTGTAGTCCAGCAGTCGGGCATGCTTCTGATATTTTCCATTTTCCCTTATTGTCCTGTCAACCTGAATTTATGAGTTTCTTTCTAAAGATATTCCAATCTATTCTTCAAAAGACTCAACCCGCTATGGAGCACTTCAAAGATTTATTAAGTGCTTTGTGCAAAAGCCAGTTAAAATGAATGTTTATGTTCCTCCACTGCCCCATGAAAAGCTGCATTTAGCTGGGTTAGCCCAAAGAAAATGCTTCAACCTTTAGATTTCCTGTATGCCTCAGTGGGAGAGTTTATAGCTAGTAACAGAGAAAAAATGGCTAGAGAAATTCTTAGCTTAATTACCAACATTAAGCTATAGTTCTGATTCTATAGCTTAGAACACTTTGAACACTTTGATTCTAACTGATGAAAAGGAATTTAAAAAACATGTTACAACTAAGAGAGCTACCATTGCAATTGGGCACTCTACAAAAATAGTAAAAACAAAATTTCACATAGGAAAATTCTCATTCCTCTCCTGCTGTAGGAAAACAGCAAAGATATACTCTTGAAGTTATCTTCTGTGTTACTAGTTTAATATCATCCATTAAAAGGAGAACCACAGTAAAACATCTGTTTTTCTGTTTTATTGCTGTGATATGAAGTACTCTCCTCGCTAATTAATTCATTTATCCAGCAAATATTCATTGAGTCCAGGGACACTTCTAGGTGCAAGGAATCCATCAGTGAACAATAAACAAAAATCCCTTGGGGGCTTCCCTGGTGGTGCAGTGGTTGAGAGTCTGCCTGCCGATGCAGGGGACATGGGTTCGTGCCCCGGTCTGGGAAGATCCCACATGCCGCGGAGCAGCTAGGCCCGTGAGCCACGGCCGCTGGGCCTGCGCATCCGGAGCCTGTGCTCTGCAAAGGGAGAGGCCACAACAGTGAGAGGCCCGTGTACCACAAAAAAAACAAAACAAAACAAAATCCCTGTTCTATAGAGCCATTCTAGTGGTCAGACAGTAATAAATGTAAAAATTATGTTGTATGCTAGCAGGCACGTACTACGAAAAAAGCAGAGCAAAGTAGGATGATGGGCGGGTGTCAGCTATGCGGCTGAGGTGGAGTTAGGGCAGGTTAGATCAGGCCTCAACGAGAAGCTGACATTTGAGCAAAGACTGAAGTTCACTGGATACATTTTTTTTAAACTTGAAGCTTTCATCTTCAAACTTTACTTTGTTCTATCAAATCTTACATATTTATTTCTAAATAGTGTATTCAATATAATACTTCAATACAGCTTATTATACAGTATTGTAAAATTATTAACAATATATATATTATTGTATAATCACATTGTATAATCCACCCTCTACCTTTTTCAGAGAAAGGTTGTCATAGTTATGAAAGAAACTTGAACTGAGCTCAGCGTGGGGAACTGGAGCAGGCATGAGCGCGGCTCGTCCATGAGCTACACATATGAGTTACACTTGCTCCTTCCTTCAGGAACTGCCGCTGGGAAGAGGCTGGCAACGTGAGCTGTCACTGCTTCTGCCTCTCACGCTGCTGTTGTTCCTTAGCCTTTGGCCAGTTTACACCTTTGTGCCCTGCATTTCACTGCTGACACAGAGCTAGCTCTATGTGCCTCTCTATTCAGGAAAGAAAATAACCCACAACTTTTTTTTTTTCCTTTAATTTGAATATGCTTTGTACACTTGACACATTTGAGTAGTTTATTTCCTATCTGGATAGGATAATCTATGATTCCTTCTTGCACTGTTAACTGTTAAGTCAACTCACATTGACTTCCATATATACATTCTTAATGTTCATCTAAGCTCTCGAAAACACACTTCAGGATATCTGATCCTTTAAATCAGTAGTTCTCAGACTTTAGGGTGCACGTGAATCACACCGTGAGCCTGTTGAAACAGAATTCTGCATCTACCCCGAGAGTCTGATTCTACAGGCCTGGGGTTTAACCTGAGATTCTCCATGTTTAACAAGCTCCCAGGAGGTGTTGGGTGCTTCTGGTCTGTAGATCTAACTGTGATTTGAGTAGCAAGGTTCTGAGTATTCTCACTTGGCCCAGTGGACCCAGAAGCTATGGTCTCACTGGTCACATTCCAAGTCCACTGAGGGACTTTCCCTCGGGTGCCTGGCTTGAGCCTCCTGCCCCATCGTACTGATCACTTTCCAGGTCTGCTGAGTGCATGGCCTGGGCTCCCTGACCCATCAGGCTATACTTTCCTTCTGATCTTGCTGACCCCTGGCTATACTGGCCAGTGAGCCTTCCCAGCCAACACTGGCCTCGCTCTACTCATCACATCCCTCTGACCTCACTGGGTCCTTCAACCTCTGAGGACCTGCTCAGCAGCTTTCTCATTGCCCTTGGAGTTGTTCCTTATCCTGCCTCTCTTGCTTTGGCCCTGAAGGAGCAGCTTGGTGGCAAAACAGATCAAGGAAGACCCCTCCACACAGACACCCCCCCAAACAAGTGACCTGGCCTTATCTTTCCAACTATCTTTTGTTAAAAAAAAAAAAAAAAAAAGAATCAAAAACTCCACAACTTCACTTTATCTTAAAGGCTATGAAGGCACAGAACAAAATGATGTATTTGATATGAAATAACAGCAATTCACATTCAAGTGGCTGATATCCCCGTAAGCCAGGGGAAAAAACTAACACAAAACAGAGAACCAAAACTAAGCAACAAACAAAACCAAAACCACCTTTTCAGTCCTTTTAAGTCCTTTAATTCTTTCCCACACTACCTAATGTCAGTCTAAACCCAGCAGGTCTGATCTGCAATAATTACAGCCCAGGGTGACTTGACAAGGTGGCAAGCAGATTTCCAGCCCTAGCCTTCTGAAACTCTTCCACAAGTTTGCACCGGACTCGCATGCCAAGGTCCCTGTCTATCATCGCCTCTCTCTTTCCATGAACAGTTTTTCTCCACACAGGCCTTTCTCCACTGCAGTGTTTTCCAAGCCTTTCCATCTTAATGCCTTCCCATGTCTTTGCAGCTCACAGCTGGAAATCCCATTATCATTGCTTTGTAGCAATTTCTCATTTCTTTCTATTTCTATTGTTAGTTAACTGTGAAAATTATTTCCTCTTGCAGGAAAAAATGCCCATATGCTTATTTGAGCTGGAGTCCTGCTGTTCATTATTAGCCAAATGCCGTGCTGTCGTGTTTAATGCGCACCCTGAGATGTCAATACCATTTTGTCTATATGAAGGCAGAAACCCATTTGATATAATTTATGAGACCTCCTGCGGGTGGGGACCCAGTCACGTCAGGCGCCTCTCCCTTTGTAGCACATCAGCAATTAACTGAGGCTAGTGCATTTTGTTTGTATATTATCTCTGGACTTACAGTGGAGGAAAGCAGGAAGGAAAGGCATATGGGAGATATTTACAGTAGACTTACCCTTCCTGATATAATCTTTCTGAGGTGCAACATTCTGGTCTTCAAGACACTATATTCTGGCTTTGAATGCTTCAGGGAGATTTAGGCTTCTGCTTTATGGTTTCACTGTCAGAACTGTAATGTGCAGCCTGAGCGTGTCTTAAATCATTCAATTCAAAGAATAAACCAGAGTAAACCTAAACACAATGAGGATAACCAGCAAAACGTAATCTGAAGAGGTTTATCATAAATACTGAATGCCTGCCCACCGGAGGGGAGAAAGGACTCAGGAGTGTAAAGCCAATGTTCAGAAGGGCTGGGAACCCGGGAACCTGTGTACCGACCCGGCAGAAAGCTGTCCTGAGGCTGGCAGTAACCACCGGCTGCACTCAAACACCTGAGCTTCATTCTCAGCGATATATATTCCATTTGGGTAACAATCCTCTAGTTTCTGTGCCAGGCCAAGATCAGCTAGACCATTCCCTCCTGGAGTCAGCTGACACTATGCCTTTCCTATAACTCAGTCATGCAATCCCTTCTATCTCTGAAGAGTGGGAGATGCAGTCCCTTCTATCTCTGAAGAGGGGGAGACGGGCGAAGAGAAGACGGTGCTACGAATGTGGTGCTAGTTTACCCACAAAGCAGACAAAGCATGAGCCTACGGAGGTGGCGGGAGTCCAGCAAAGTAAGGACTGTGTATCTCAAAGACTGTATTGAAGTAAGCATTACGGGAAGAACTGGAACTTCGTTGTTTCCCCTTACATTTATTTTACAGTTTAATCTTTTACTTGTATTTATGTATGAGAAGGGACCTGACCGTATTTCAGTGCTTAGGGACCACTTATGAACCTTTTATGAACCTGACATAGTCACACTGGGTCCCACTTAAGACACGTCTTTTACAAGGAGTGTTTTATGGCTGTTATTTTAATACGTGCTCACAAGTCTCGCTTTGCTGTGTTTTTTTTTTGTGTATTAATGAATATTGTTATTTTATGCAGTCACTCTGATGTATCATATATGTAATTTCTCCAGAGCCCTTCACAAATTCCCAATATTGTGCCAACTGAAGTTGACTTCCTGAACATCCTCTCACGGTAATCCCCTAATTCAAACCTGGTGAGATTCTGCAGCATTGAACTTGATTTTACTTCTGTTTATCCCCGTGTTTTCTCTCCCCAGTAGTTGTGATTGAAACCATACACCATTCTGCTGTTGCAAGTCATCTCCTCGCATGTATCTTCTGTCATACTGCATGTTTATCTGTGAGCTGCTGCCCAGAGAGACTAGGGGTCCAATACAAGTAACTCATTGAAATATTGAAGAGCAATCCAATCCATTTGAAGAAAGAGTAATGTCCCTCTCTTCATGAAATGTGCATTGATTTATGATGATATGGAAACACTGGCATGTTTTGAAAACTTAAATACCAAGAAAAAAACAAATAAAGCAAGCCTCAAGAAACTTTTACGTGAGTCCTAAAAGATTTCTTTTTGTATAGGATACTGAATGATTTTTCTCTTCACCCATACACACACAATATGACCCAAAGTGTGGAAATAAAGAGAATCAACTCACAGGCTGTCCAGGCTCATCTCCCCCGAGGATTCTGAAGCCAAATCCAGACTGCATCCTGCGAAGGTGAACATCCAGCTCCTTGTAATCCGGACCTGGCATAGAGGAGACCCCACTGAGTGATGAGTCCTGCCTCCCCCCAACCCGCGAGGGACTGAACACGCCGATGAGATGGATTAATTTTGTGGGTGTGATCAATGAGAGTGCCGTTAGAGTCGGTGAAAAGCACAGAGGATAAGAAAAAAATATATGGTAACAAAAAAGTAGGTATTCCAAAATTAGGTAGTCTCTGGATTAGCACTGACCAGCCAAGGGCATTACTAGGGTATTGCCATAGGCGGAAAGAGCACACAAATTTTCTGAGTGAAAAGAAAAATCAATGCCTCCGTAATTCTTCATCTTCCTGAAAGGATTGAGATTGCCCTCAAGAAGATTGGCTGTCACTTTGGCGATGTTACTCTGACTAGAACAATTGTTTTAGAAGTATGAGAGAACAGATGGCAACGCCCTGGAAATACCTGGTAAAGGACTACTTAGTAATTTACTAGTAGCTGTTTCTGACTTGATGTGTCCCATTTAGTGTGTGTAGGGGAGGGGGATGTAAACTTACACCTCATAGAAGGTGTCTCTTTTAAAATTGTTAGAGTTAGAAAATAGAAAATCTGAACTTTTCTCTATTGAGGTTTGGGTGAAGTTTTGATTTTCTGACAAACTCCTTTAGGCTTTTCATAACTCAGGGACAGAAATTTGCCTGGGTCTAAGTGAACTCTTATCCCCCAAACATTTTAAAATGTGGAAGCCACTAGTAGATTCACTACTGACTCTGTAAACATATTCAAAATAAACTAGACAAGGGATATTTTTCTGTAGTTAGCTGAAAGAACAGAAATGTACTTAAAAATAAGCTGGGAAACTCTTCTGTCATTTTTTTTTCCAACCCTAGAATAAACTAAAACCATAAGAAATATTTTAACTTTTTAAAGAGAATATGATTTAAATATGATTTAACCTTACCCCCAGCCCCTGGCCCTTTGAACCTTCCCCAGGGGCAAATATCTCAATCATGACGGGGCTGTGTATACTTTCAAGGCCACTGTTAGGATGTTAATCAATGATTAGCAACTTTGGGGAATGCTTATTAATGCCATCCTTTGCTTAAGAAGTATTTAGTGATCTTTGGGCCTTAATGGTTTAAAGGAGGTATTAGAACTGATAGATGCAAGTATTAAGTTAAATTCTCCTTGCTTAAGCAGGATGGTTTTGGAAATTGGGATGGGATTTCAGAGGAGAATCCTCATGAGACAGGAAGCTTATGTCTGAGCCATCTGGGTATACAGTAATAGCCATAGTTGAGAGAGACACTCAATAAGTGATGGCCACGCAAATCTTTTCCAGACTCTACAGTAAGTGGAGCTGCTGAAGTGATGCAGTAAACAGAGCACAACAGAACAGGGCTTGCCTTTGTGCCCTCCAACCTGAGCAAAGCATTTCCAGTGATATGTGAAAGGCAAGTCACTCACTTCTGAAATGTAGGCATAAGCTGATTGTGTGTCTAGTGTCCTCAAGGAAAAAAAAAAGCTGAATCAGCCATATAAGTACATATGTATATATGTCCAAGTCACATTGTCCAAGACTCTATGACTTTCGTGCCCTTTTAGGACCAGATGCATGTATAACCAAAGTCTTTCCCATTCAGTGACGAATATAAAACTCAAAGAAGAATAACCAACTGGATTTCCACATCCATTAGTCATCCTTTATGAATTGTATAATCATTCATATTTTAAAGGTACGACAACTTAGAAAAATTCAGTTCCTCTTAAACACTTTGTTAGAGTTGAGTGGTAAAAGGAAAATGAAAACTTTGCCCTACACTCTACAAGTCTCAACTGACTTTTGACCTCAGTTTATTCCGAGGTCTACAACATTATATATGAAATCACATATTGGGGTGTGTGCTAAACCTTCAGGACCCTGGAGGCAAGTGGAGCAGCCCTACAGAGTCATGGCAGGTACCTGAATTTCTCCCAACACAGGCAGAAAGGCGAGGGGAGAGGGGAGGGCGACAGATAATACCCAGTCGCCGTTCAAACCTCTAAAACTTGGTTATACGGCTGCTCCCATCAATCTCTTCTCTAGGTTCCTTTAAGCTTAGAGGACTCGAGACCATATATACATAAAAATCACAAAGAGAGCACGATATACTTTCGACATTCAAAATGATACAGCTAGCGTATGTTTAACCAGAACCTTCCATTTACTTGTAGATAGTCTCATTTTTGCATTGCTGCTGAGTATGGTAAGTGAGAAATTGTTCCTCCAGTGGCTTCAGCACCAATCCATATTGCATGAGGAGCTCTACAAGGACTTTACCGCGTGATCCATTTTATTTGCTAAGGAAAACTTTCCCCCGAGGAAATGCTGAAATCATAACAATCCCAGTAATGGCATTTTTGAGATGTGCCAAGGTACAAGGGAGCTGTCGTGTCAGAGGATGCTGTGATTCCTGGGAGAATTGGAAAGCTTTTCCTTAATGAATGACTCAGGACTCCTTTATATTTAGGAGAAAAATATAGATCTATGTTTGCTAGTTAATTTTATTTAACTCTGAAGAACTCTGAAGATGTAAGCAGGGAATATCCCCCCCCCCCCATTCTTTGTGTGCATTTTGGTGACATTCCGATCCCCTGACTACTGCTCTGACCACTCTGATTTCAAATATAGGGTGATACATGCCAACCACGTCATCTTCACCCTCCGTTCTTCCAGGCCAAGACGGCCAGCTTCATGGCACATGTGCCCGTAGAGAGGCAAAAAGAGACCCGTTAGAGAAGTGTGCCTGCAGATGTAATTTACTTTTTATTTCTTTGTTAATTCTGAACACAGACTCAGAGGCTGCAGGGCGTGGAAACTTAAGAGAAATAGCCAACTGGAAAAAAAAGTTTAAATGACGGACTGTGCCTTAAGGCAGTTTAGTTTTTTCTTTTTCTTTTGTTATTGCTTAAGGAAAATAAGAGCTTTCAGAAAGAGAATTTTTCCTTTGTTTCTCCCTCCCTTCGCCCATCCATGAGTCTGGCTTTAGAAAATAACTAACACTATATGCACATAGCTGGAAACATTACTTTTCTCCCTTCCTGCTTTGCTAGCGCTCTTGAAAGATTACAATGTTTCTGATACTCTCCTTTAGCTGCTCTTCTGGTCTGATGACATACTTAAAATGATTGTTATCATGCTTTATCTCTTCCCCTGTCAATGCAAGGACTTAAAGCAAAGAAATTCAAGGGCAACTCTTCACCCCACTGTTATAGAATTTAACAATCCTCACCCCTCTCTCCAGCTGGTTTGCAAACCATGCACCTGGCAGGCTGTTAGATGAAGGGGTCTGGGGGACACCTAGTGGGACCTGAGTCACTCTGGATGTCACTCAATCATGCCCCTACCAACATCCCTTTTTTTTTTCTTCTGTCTTTGTGTTCAGTCTGTATCTGTGCTCTTTTTTTCTTTTTCTTCTTCCTTTTCCTTTTCGCAGAACTGTGAGGGGTGCTCTCAGGCATTTCTCGGTGCAACTCAAGATGAGGCAGTCATTGTGAAGAAATGGACTAAGAGAGTCAAAAAACTCTTTGGACGTTGGTGTTCAATGGTTAGCCATGGCCAGTGTTGCTTGTTCCTTAGAAGCTGGGTCCTAGGATCCTCAGGAATTATGAAATAATGCATCTTAAGATCCTCGTCCCAGATGGGACTTCGCATGACCACGGTGGCAAGCTACAGAAATGGAATTTACAAGTCCTGATTAATCCTGGGCTCTCAATAATATTGAAAAAGCTACATCCAGGTAGCAGGGTAACCTCCGTCATAATAAAGAAAAGCAGAATTTCAAAAGCTGATTCTTATTTTGTACTAAGACGCCAGGAAGACTTCACATGCTATACGTACCCTTGGTCTAGCTCTTGAAAGACACGGTTCTGTGCACGGCTTCAGGAAAAAGGATGGGTGACTGAACACAACTGATTAATTTTGTGAATGGATTCAAGCTTCAAAAATGCAAAGAATGGCATTTTTATGGATTAATTTGGCACATGGAATGCTGCTGTAAACACGTCAATTAAATTTTGGTACTTGAATCCCCTTTCATGTTTTAATTGAACATAAGCACCACAGGCTTATTATCACATTTTGACACAGATAATGAATTCATTCAATTTTTCCTCTTGAAAAAGTATTAAATTTTTGGCTTTTCCTTGGAAAGAGATCTAGAAAAGACAGTACGAGGGAGGAATCAAGAATCAAAGGTGGTTATTAAATATGTCCCTGCCAAAAAAAAAAAAAAAAAAACGTCCCTGGCATCTGGATTTCCAATGCACTCTAGATACAAAATGAATTAAACAGGAATTAAATAGTTTTTATTGATCAAATCTAACATTACCAGGTAAATAACTAACACATTCTTGTCTTAAAATAATCCCTTCTCTCTACTTTTTTCTCTTTATGCCTTTGGTAATATGAATGTGGCCAGACATGTTTTAGCCACAGTAGAAGCCATCTCCCACTCTCTGTTTGGTTCTCTTCAAATAACCAAAGCTTTCAAATAAACTCAGATTTTCCCATCTGAAATACTCCCTTGCTCTCCCCATCCATTGCTCTCTTGAAAGAGTGGTCTCTACGGAAGCCTTCACTCTCTCTCATGTCTGACTTACTCCTGACGGTCTGGTTTCTGTTCTCTTGGCATTACTGAATTGCTCTCTTTAAGGTCTTTGATGACATCCTAATGACCAAATCCAATGGCCATTTTTTTCTTGTGATTGTTTTTCTTGTAATTCTCATTGTGATTGATTTCTGTGTCTCATTTGATACTGTCGACGCACCCTTTATGACCCCTGATTTCTATTGTTTCTAAACAAGAAAAGGTCTCCTTCCAGAAGGGATTTCTACTCTTGGTTTCCGTGATACGCCACACCCTAGTTTTCTTGTCTTTGGGTGGGATTGTTCATTCAAAGGTCCTGACTATGGATTCATTGCTCTTATTAACATTCTCCCTTGGTGATGGCATAACTATCTTTGTCTATCTCTAATATTCCATATGCACAGCGTGTAGGAG